ACTGTGCCATAGTGATATTGTTAATACATGCACACACATTTGCAATCCGTTCTATAGGAAAACGGAAAATAATCTTGTTATAACTGCTATGTAAAATTTTAATTTTTCTTTTTACTTTCTTTCCTTATTTTCCCCACAATCAAGAGACTGAATTAAAAGAAATCAGCAAATGAAAGATTGAATTATTGAAAAGCATTTTATGTTTTCGACATCTTTCCATTTAAACATAGATATTGTATGAATCATAAATGCAAAATATTATGGATATATATTTGTGAAACTACTACATTGAAACAATAAATAAGTCCATTTTTGTTATCAAGAGTGTTTTCCCTGCTGTGCCGATATGGTTTTACATTCTTGCATTATATATATGCCTTTCTAACTTTTGGCATCCTGAAAGCTTCAGAAAATACATTTAACATACTGTTATTGAAAATTAATTTAAAAGAAATCTTTTGCTGGAAATAAAAAAATCTTGGACCAAGATGTAATTTAAACATAGTTACATAGTTTTTTTTCCCCCACTTTGTGCATTAGTTTTTTTATTTATTTTTTTATTAGGGCTATTTGATTAATATTCTAAATATGATGGAGTGTAATACAAGGCTGAAAACTCATATTGCAAGTTAAAAAGCAATACTGAGAAAGCCTGAATTTTAAAAGAACCGTAAAGTTGTGATGAAATTAAGAGGCTTTTGATTACCTTGTTAAGCATTTAAAAAATAAAGAAAATGTTACAGCTTCTCCTTTCCTAAAATGACCTTTGAAAACTTGCAACATTTTTGAGGACATAATTAAATTAACTGTAATGAACACTGCGAATATGATGCTTCCTCTTAAAGTTGGAAAGATTTCATTAAATATGTAATATACCATATTGCTCTCTTGTATAAGCCACATCCTTAAATTTTTACCTGTAATTTTGGGGGGAAAGAATTCTTGAGGTTATTATTCTTGTGGATAGCTTGTCTGTCAGCTACAATGTTTTTTTCATTTTAAAAGTGTGAAAACAGTACTTAAGGTGCACTGAGCCAAAATTTGGATTATCAGTCAAAGAAACATGTTTCTGTGTTTAGTAACTCTTATTCACTGTCAGTACCACTGCAGTAGTTGCCTGCACTGCCTAAATTGCTGTTGCTGATATCGATATCCCACAACATGCCATCTTCAGAACCATTTAGAACAACGGTCTTCAACACTTAGAACTTCACAGACCAGTACATATATAATAGGCAGACCACTAATATGAATTATTTTTTTTTAAAACTTTAATCGGACCTTAAAACAGGGTTGCCACGCTACCTGAAGAACCGGGAAAAGTCAGGGAATTCGAAAATTGACCATAATATTCAGGGAAAAGTCAGGGAATTTAAGTATTTTTGTCAAAATCTGGAAAAGTCAGGGAAGTTCATACAACGATCCCGCCAAAAAAAGCGATTTTTGCGCCGACGTCGGAAGAGATAACTTTTTGGCGAATTATGTATCACGTGAGTGTCATTCGGGTAGCTGGCATAGAGCCAATTTTCGCAGCTCCAATTTGATTGTCTTTTAGAAAGGCAAAGCAACTTTCCCGCAAGTTTTGGTTTCCAGTATTCTCGAGAATTGCATGTGCAGTGCATGAATTAAAGAAAGTACCTGTTCTCGTATAAAACAAAATGGGTTTAATCCTAGTATACGGTACCATGGAGGTTAGAATCAAAGAATATGTATTGTAAAGAAGGAAAACCTCTCTGCAACAGACGTGGCTGTGGCTCTGTTCCATCATAGAGGGGAAACAGCTGTGCATGTCTGATATATCTGTCGCCAAAGCTCGAAACCGGTGTCGAAGTTCGAAGGTCACGTTATCAAGAGTTCATAAAATGAATATCGTTTAAAATTTCTTTAACCACTTGCGCTAAAAAGACGTGCCACGCACGTCGAGATGCTTTTGTCTCAAACCGCGAGCGACGTGAACACACGTCGATAATCCTAGTATTTATCGCAAAAATGAAAATAACGTGGTGCACACGTCGCCTAACGAGATTGTTTATTTCTCGAGTTACAGCTCTGGATTGCACTCGCAGATGCGGAGCGGCGTAAATGAGACACTTTACCGCTTGTTATATTGTAGCGCATGGCACCGCAACCGTGAAGTTTAAGTCTTAGCGCAAGTGGTTAAACTCTAAAGGAAAAGAAAATATTTTTTGGTTCAAGTAAATTAATTCATGGATTAGTTATTTTCAGGAAGAAAAAAAAACTACGAAAATCCGTTTTTAAAATTATTGCGAAAAATCCAAGAAGAAACGCCCTTTGATAAAACGTTTCTTCTTGGATTTTTCGCAATAATTTAAAAACGGATTTTCGTAGTTTTTTTTTGTCAAAGAGCGCGTTTCTTAACACGTGTTTCTCAATTTCCTGTACACATCGCGGAGAGGGAAATTCTGGCCGCCAGGTTCCCGTCGCCAAATCCCTTGGCAAATTTTCCCTCCGCTTTCTAGCGGCGTAATAGCATTTTACTTGTATGGAACAACCTTTTCTTCTTTACATAGACGTTCTTTGGTTAGAAAAAAATAATAAGATTTGGCGACATCATGATGCGCAGTAAACGGGTCATTTTGGTCTTGGCGACAATTTTCAAAATCGTGCCACAAAGCCTTACCGTATTATACTAGAATTTTACCGCAAAATCTTTTTAAAACCTTTTTTTTTTTTTTTTTTTTCCCTTTTACATTTTGCAGTAAATAAAAAATAGTAATCAGTCATCTAGGCTAGCCATGTAATATAACTATATTCGCTCTAAATATCGTTGATTATTCTAATTCAATTTTAAGTAATTTTTTATGTTATATCATTTAATGTTGCTTTTTCTTCCTCTAAATTTATTTATTATTAGTAAATAATATTTCCAAATTTCAGGAAATTTTTCTCTGGCATAATCCTGAAATTAATTATAGCAGTATGATGACATACCATCACGAAATTTAATGCACATATTTTTTCCTTATGTATGCTGCGAAATTAATATAAAATACCTCAATTTATTAAATTAGATTTCTTTCTTTCGTTTAGCTGCAGAATGTCTGCAAAAAAAGCCATATTTTATTCCAGATTGGGAAGATTCTAATCTCAATCTTCAGTGGAGAAAACAAAAACTATTATCATTATATTTGTATTTTCAAGTGTTAAGGTGCCTTTTAAGAACATACCTCACGCAAATTAAATTTACCTAAAATCTAACCTAACTATTTAGCATTGCGTTGTGATTCGTAAGGACCGGATTAGCCTCGTGTTGAATTGGTGATGATCATGAGTATTAAATAAAACATACATTTGTTATCCAATGTATATATCTTAAATTTTATTAAGTTTCTTAAGTGGAAAACTAAACAAAATTATCAAAGTATACCAAGAATAATTAAGAATAAATGTCCTCTGGGATTTATTGAATAATTAAGTGAATTTGCTACACAATACAAGTAATACCATAATTAATTTACCTCTTAGCACAGCCAACGTACATTATTCAGATAGACTGGAATTTTCTTGAAACACACCTGGAAAACCTGGAAAAGTCAGGGAATTTCATTCTCCTGTTTGAGTGGCAACCCTGTTAAAAATAACATATTAATATGCAAAAACAATATTCAACTTTCCAATACATGTAATTCTAATTTTCATTTGTTAATATAATTTTCAAAACTTTTGGTGTTCAGCAGCATGCCTTTATGGAAATTCAGGCTACGCCCCTGATTGTGAGTAACAATTAAAACACTATTAACATCTCACTGATATACATATTTCTTTCACATTGAAAAATTTATGAAAAGTACAAAATATTACCTTCTTGTACAGAATGCTTCACATTTCCATATCGCTGAAAAGGAACTTCACAAAAAGCAAGAACAAATTGGCAAAACAATATCAATAAACTGAAAGTGTTAAGCTGCCAATTTTTAATTATTGTAAACATAATAATCATCGCTTATTTCACAATGGCGCCATCGATCAAAAGTTAAACAAAACAGAAACTTGCAGTGATGTAGTTATAAACAAGAATGCAGATGGTTCTCATAAAAAATCCATCAAGTTGCCTATTGACACCGAAAAACTGTGTTATTAATGACTGCAATGGCATATGTTTGTAATTCAAAAGGAAAGAGAATTCCAGTTTGTGCTATTATTGATAACAGCAGCATGTCCATGGATGCCAACTCTCACTTTCAAATGTCGCTAGATACAGCTGTAAAAATAGTTAAAAAGTAATTAAATTCAGAAGGAATTTTGCTAAATGTAGTAGCTAAAAATTTTTAAAAAAGGTCTATTTCATATTCCATAATAGGTTTTGTTACTCTTCATTTTTTAAACTGAATCTTCAGAAAAATATAAATAATGTCCTAATTTTTCTGCGGACTATCAAAAAGTTTTCATGGACCACCAGTTGGCGACTGCTGATCTAGAGCAGTACATATTCCACACTTTATCCTTTAATGATTGTTTCATGCTTGACACTTTACCTGTCCACCAGAACCCACTCGCAAACTACACGCTTGAACATTTTATTCGTGCTTTCATTTTATGGTCATGATTTCCTCTACTCATCCAATTATTGTAAAGTCTCTGGAATGAACTTTTAAAGGTGCAATTAACGGTAATATCAAGAGGCTGATGTGGGGAAATTAGGCCTTCAGTAACCATAGCTACATGAGTTTTTAACTCATTTAATTTCCTCTTATGTGACACTGAAATTCTGCAAATATAATAAACGCTTAGGTTTCAGTAAACTATTAGATCATCTAATCTAAGTATAATCTGTTTTTAGCCAGTCCAATATGAGATTCTTATGTATGTACAAAAATATCTGGTGGTAGTTTTCTTCCATATGTTCAAAGTTCATTTTAAGAAATTGTTATTTTTTAGTCCATCATCGCTGATTTATCATATTTCATTCCACTTTCTAAACTTTAATCATAAAGTATATTCATTTATATATATATATATATATATATTCCTAATTACAGGTCGAACATGTGCTCCCGCTTTTAAAACGGGGAATTGGAATTCATCATTCTGGTCTTTTACCTATTTTAAAGGAAACAATTGAAATACTCTTTTCCGAAGGTTTAATAAAGGTTCGTTTCCCATATTTCATCAATTGCTGGTTTTATATGGAATACAAAAATTGGACTATATTTTCTTATTATAAATTGCTTATTTTCAGGCATTGTTTGCAACAGAAACTTTTGCTATGGGATTAAATATGCCAGCCAGAACAGTATTATTTACTAATGCACGAAAATTTGATGGAAAAGATTTTCGATGGGTAATTTGTTGCATATATTTGTTTTCATTTTAGATCTTTAGTTTTAGTTCTGTTCTGTTTATTACTTTTATTCACCAACTGAAATTATATCAAATTTTAAAAACTAGGCTGATTCAGAAAAATTCAATTCCCTTTTCCCAGTTTCTTACCTTTTTTATGTCAATGATTTCTTCTTTTTTTATTACATTTTATTCATTTCTAATCATTATATAATTTATTGTCCATTGTGTCATTAATAATTAAAAGTTGTTTTCCTTTTTTTGTGTGCTTAAAAATTCAGAGCTCACTTGAAACTTTTTATAATATCAAATGTCACTTTAAATAATATCTTTTATTGTACTGGTGAGGTTTTCATCTTAACTACTTTACTACTTTTAGTGTATTTCCCAAGTATTGCGATACAGTAGAAAAATTCAGTTGACGTCCTCAGTATCGTAATAACTTAATGTTGCTTGGAAAACTATGAGATATATGTTTTTAAACCTTGTAGCCAACCCTTTTTTTTTAATTTAATTATTTAAACTAGTTTGCCTTGAAAATTGGTAACAACATCTAATAATTTGATTTTGCTTTGTGTAAGAAAACTTCATTTTCTTGATATAAAAGAAAATTATCATTATTATATAAATTTCTATTTAATTGTTAATAATGTTGTGTATATTAAGACTGTCTTCCATATAAAGGTCACATCTGGTGAATACATCCAGATGAGTGGACGTGCTGGCAGAAGAGGTCTTGATGAAAGAGGTATTGTCATTTTGATGGTTGATGAAAAGATGAGCCCATCTGCGGGAAAAGAAATTGTAAAGGTAATGTTATTGTTTTTCCTGTTTCAGTCAATGCCAAGATACATTCTCTCTCTGTGTGTATGTTCTCCAAACATCTTAATCTAATTTAATGTATAATTTTTTAATATGTTACATCATTTACAATGGAATTTTATATATAGAATGGTTAACATTTTATTACTTATTTATTGACAATTTTTGTTTTAACTGGTGGGAGATTTTAACTGGCTGTCTTGTTACTCTTCTGTAAGATTTTCTGCAATATATTAATGTTATCGAGTAGTCATAAAAGTACATAAAAGTCAAATAATGTAAGTTAAAGATAGTTTAACACATTTTGCACTGTTAAAACATGCTATTATATCTTGGTTCAAAAGTTATGATAGTTGGTGGCTGTTACTTTTTAATTAACTTTCATATAAATGTGAAAACTGTGTTGAAGTTGCTTATATACAACATTTAATGAATTAATAATATTGTTACGTTATTTTCTTCCTTTACGTTCGTATGGGGTTCGTGTAGATTTGGAGTGAATAACGATGACACTTAATGAAGTATCGAAACATACTTTATTAGTCAGTATTGTCAGGACAGCTCCAAAACACGTTTTACAGTCGTCTATGAACTACTATAAACACTCTGGAACAATCAGCGACACAGCCTTCAGACAAGCTTCCTGCAAAGCACCCGATTCTGCTTTCCAGAGTACAGCTCCCGACTCTGCTTGGTCGTTCTCGGAACTCCACGTACTCTCGAGATTCTCCACGCTACAACTTGCAATGCACTCGACGACACACAGAGCACAGCTCCTGACTCTCGGTTCAGTTGTTTCCGAAGCTCAACACGCTCTCTTGACAATGCACTAACCGCAATGCTCTACGAGACTCTTTCGGTGCATTCGACGACCCACTCGGCACTCACTGGCTGGCTGTCAACGCGATTGCTTCCGCAGGGATTGACCTGCTAGACAAGACACACTCACTCGATGGAGACGCACACTTCCTGAGACACACTCCATGATGATTTTCCATCGTATGTGCTTGGTTTGATTACCGTATGAGAGAACATTGGGGATACCTTGAAATCTTCAGCTTTGTTCTTGGGCCCAGTCCGGTTTTCTTTCGAAATATCTACTTCTGTTCGGAATTCTCTCAATTTTTTTTCAAATCATTCTTCCACAGCTGCTATTTTTGCTCCAGTATCCTCTCTAAGCTCCACGATCTCGCTTTTAATCTTTTCTTGTTCCACTTTTATCTGTTCGAATTTTTCTTGCATCTTTTCTTGAGTGGCTTTTATTTCGCTCTTGATCTCAGCCCTTATCTCCTCCTGTCCGGCTTTCATCTCTTTTATTTCAGATTTCCTATCTTTTACTTCAGCTTTGATTTCAGCTTTCATCTCTTCCTGTCCTGCTTTCAACTCGGCTAAAAGGTCCATCAAAGTCTTCGTTTCTTCCACCATGGCTTTCCTCTGCAGGCGGGTCACTGGCGTTCACTCGCAAATCCCACTTCTTCGTTACGTTTAAAGTCCAACGTAAAGTCGTACTTCCGCAAAAAGTCCAATCCAAGTGTTAATTTGTCGGCGATGTTATCGACGAAAGCTAAGTGCTGATAGATCTCATTTCCGAAGGTAATGATGATGTTAATTTTACCTTCAATTGGAATCTAATCACCTGTCACTGTTTGCAAAGTGTTTGCACACACAGGGGCGGAGTCCCCAGCGCAAACGTTCGTTCGCTCAATTCTCGAGCTACATCTGTTCTTACGATGGTTACATTTGCTCCCGTATCTATCATCATTTTACAAGGATGCTTATTCATGTATCCTTCGATGAACAGTCCGTTATCTCCGCCGTTCATTGCAAGAGATTTGAAGAACTTCAGAGGATTGCAAGAAACTTTCAGCCGGGGCTGCATCCTTGCCTGGCAACCTCCGCCCCGTGAGATTGCCGCATTTTAGTTTCCCTGGTTTTGTTTCGCGGGAGCTTTCTTCCAGTTTTGATTCATGTGACAGTTCCTGCTGAGATGGCCTTCCAATCCACAGTTCCAGCATTTGACGAATTTTTTCCCAGTATTCTTTTTATTAGGTCTTCTTAATGCCTCCCAAATTTCTCTTTCATTTTTTAGTTACGAGACATCAAAATTTGGATCTTCTATTTGAGCCGCTCTAATAGGATAGTGATCTCTTCGAGTCGCTTTTTGAGCCGATTCGAACTTCATAGCGTAAACCAAGAAAATCTGAAAGACCAGATTTCAGGTCTTTCAGATCTGCCAATCTGAGAGCTTTCTGAATTTCCGCATCCTTAACGGCATCGATTAAATGCATCAAAGCCAGATTTTCTCGGACATCAGGTGGACAGTCCGGATATGCTTGATGCGCCAACCTCTCGATGTCAGTCGCCAGTTCCTGAAGGCTTTCCGTGATTTTCTGCTGGCGAGATTTCAATTGCAGATGGTTACAGTCCTTTGCGTATTTTTCCCCGAATTTCATTTGCAGCGCATTCGAGAGGGCGTTGAAGTTTAAATTCTGGTCTTCGAAGAGGACCCCTAACAAACATAACAATATGATATACATCAATCAGCCAAAATATAAGAAACAACTAATAGGTTGTAGGTGATCATATCACTACTACAAGGGCTGTCTGTAGTGAGACGTTAGTGCAGTATGATGTTGTTTTGTGTGTCATGACATTTCACAGTATAATTTTAATAAATTCTTCACTATATGTAGCTTTCACAGTTCACTGCTTCTAGCTATTTCTGCTACTTAAGCAATAAATATTATTTAGATAAGGGTTGTCTCTACTGAGACTTAAGTTCAATAGGATGTTATCTCATGATATTTGGCAGTGTAATTTTAAAAATCTGGCTAATTTCATGGTTAAAAGAAGATAATTCTTTATTGTGATCTTGGATTCATTAATCTTTTTCTCATTATCACATGATGGCCCACCAACGGCCGAGCAGTAAAGACACTGAACACTGGTAGTTCGGTCCAAGGTTCAAATTCCGCGAACGGGCTGGCTGCATGGCCATTTTCATGGTTTTCCCCATGTGTAACATGTATACAAGCCAGTTTCCCTTAGAAAGTCCTCCGCCCTCCCTTTAGGCAGATAGCTCTCATGTGCTTTGCCATAATTGAATAATCCAATCCACTAATTATCACATGAAGCGCTATCTTGAAGGATACAGTCTCGTCCAGGAAATAGCTGTTTTTGAGTAATGCAATTCCAAATAGTAATAGTATGGTATATACCATGACAAAATATATGTGTATTATTGTAAAATATATATATAGTAATAATACTGTATATGGTAATCATAGTGGTTTCGTAAGTATTAGCTGTTAAGAGTTTATTCTCAGAAACATAATACCCTGACCATCTAGTCAAAAAAGAATCTTTGAGTAAATGTTATATACAGTCAAAAGTCGTTAATCCGGAATTGTCGGGACTTCGTGATTCCGGATTATAGATCATCAGTTTAAATCTGGTAAGATGGCATGCAGAAAAAGGAAAATTACAAAAAATTAAAATATGAAATAATTCTGAAATAAAGAACTTATGGATCAAATTAAAAAGAAAAGACAAAAAGCTTAGTATTTGTTTTTTACTTATTAAACATTTCTTTCATCTCAGTTGTTTAAGTTGCTTCATTTTATGTTGATAATACTTTCTCTTTAATTCTATAAACAGAATAATTTCTTGTTTAGTTAAAAGTTCCATCTTGCTGTTTGAGATACGACTAATTTCAATCGAATGTTTTCTGTTTTTCAAATAACCTCTGGGTCACAATTTTTCATTCTCGGAAGCGAATGTGTGTAATTTGAAGAAAAGGCTAATAGAGCGCTGTTGCTCGCTTAGTTGTTCAGAGAATAAAGTTTGTCATTTGAAGGCGCAGCCTAAAATACGCTTGTATATAGTTCAACCTTTGTTAAACGTAAGTGTTCAAATTAAACCCACTGAAACCCCACCATCATCCTGATTTTTGGAGATACACAAAATTATCAGATGGTGCATCGGTGTAAGGAATTTAAGGTTTGTGAAGATTTTAGGGTTCGATCAAGTGTTCGATTTCAATGGATATTTCTACTCGAGGGACAATGGAATTCCAAATAAAGGTAGGGAAATCTTAAAATTACATTTTATTGTTATTTGTAGTATTAGTAGTATTTTTGCTGTGTGGGTGTATTTAAATTAAATAAAATGGAAGAGAAGTTAGTAGATTGAACGTAAACGTTCCACATGAGATGTTGTTACAGGTTAATTAAAGTGATTGAAGATAAATTGAGGATTAAAGTGTTTGAATTAAAATTTAGGGATGATGAAATCCAGAGAATTGCTTTTATTAATTGAAGAAGATTGTTATAGGAAGCTACAATGATGTAAATCCAAGGTTTTGTGTTCTTAATTCTGGGTTTCGGCCAGTACGCCCGAGGAATCCCGTTTTGATTAACCAGTCTAGTGGTTACATGGTTCTTGCATGGAACACCTTCTCCAGGTAGTAAGCCAGTACGCTGATTGAAATTGCCAAAAATTCCAATGTTCTGTTCGGGCTACTAGAATGACTTCCATAATTTTGTGATACGAAAAACTTTCAACATTCGACTTTGTTTCAGGGAAACTTCTTAACAAAAACGGCCCCCCCTAGAATCATTTGTCAGGCTTAGTTAAAAAAATTCTGAAGGGCCAGTACTAACGGAAGAACTGGTCCCGACTGAATTTTTAACTTTAGTCATTCTCCTTGTGCGTAGCATTAATAAAGGCTTTATAAATATACTGACGATTAATTTTGGAATTTAAATTATTCCGGCATTTTGGAATTTGGAAGGATAGAAATAACTTGAATTTGGACATTACAACACCTTTATTAAAAAACGGGAAATAAGCAGGGAAATCTAGTATTGCGAAAGAAAAATCCTGTGCCTCCGCGAGTCATCAATCAAATATGAAACTAGAAAATATGTAAAAACCCCCCACCCACGGCTGCATTTCATACTGCGTTACCCGAAATGCATCTTTGTGAT